GGAGGCCCCTGATTAGAAGGTCCCTCCTGCCGAGGGCTCTTAACAAATTGGGACAGGTGCCCCGCTTGTATTAACCTCTCGATGGCCGTCTTTAGCTGATGGCAGTCATCGGTCCTGTGCCCCTGGTGCCGATGGAAGCGACAGTATGGGAACTGAGGGTTGATAGCATGTACCTCCGGGGGTGCGCGAGAGTCGCGCTCAACAAGGCCCCTCTCCTCGGCAAAATCGAGGATGATGCTGACGGGGTGCGTCAATGGTGTCCGAGGGCGGTCCAGGAGAATGGGCTGGGCCCAAGTCTTAGGGTTGCTCTTATAACCTCCCCCGGGCTTGGCTTGGCCTTGCCGAGGGCGGTCATCTGAGGGTCCCGAAGCCTTGGGGTGATTTAGAGGAGCCCCCGGCCCTCGGTTATGCTTGTTGTCAGCCCTCGGGGGCTGCTGGTCTGGATGCTGGTGATACTTCTCCACCTCCTCGGCCTCAGCATATCGGTCCCCCCGCTGCAAAGCCCTTATGTAGTCGCGGGGGGGGGGGGGGGGGGGTTCAATGATGAGGCTCCTTGAAAAGTTTCCGGTGCGGAGGACGGTTTGTAGGAGGGCCCGGAGGGTCCCGTCATCAGGAGGTGGGAGAAGTGCTTCCTCATGCGACGCCTCCCGGCAAATTGTGTCAAGAATCGTTGGGCGAGTTCTTGCCATGAATCAATACAGCCCTCGGGCAGCCTGTTGAACCATTCGTATGCCGGCCCCTCTAAGGTGGAGAGGAACCAACGACACAAATATTCATCCGACGCCCCTACCATCATCATGCTGTTCTGGTACTTGCTGTAATGTTCCTGGGGGTCCGTTTTCCCGTTGTAGGGCTGTATGTGTTGCCCTCGGTATTTCTCCGGGATCCGGGCCGCCAACACCCTTGGGGTAAATGGCGTCCGAGTCCGGAGCTGGATGACGGGTTCTCCGGAGCCCTCGGCCACCTTCTTCTGCAACTCCTCCATTTTGGCCATCATGGCCTCGTATTTGAGATCTGAATGAGGGGTGGAGGTGGTGGCGTGAGCTTTGTTGGACTCCATCTCGTCAAGCCGGCGTTGGAGGGCCGCAATAATCTCGTCCCGGGGATCCTTCGGGAGGGTCTCCGCCCCCTGCGAACGAACCCGGGCCAAGTGGGCCTGGTTGATCTGGTGGCGAGCGTCATTGGCATGAAGGGGTGCCTTGCCTTTGTCCCGAGGGGGACGCTCCTCGTCTGCCCTCGAAACAGATCCCCCGCTTTCCTGGGGCCTTTGGAGCGCTTTCCCCCCGAGGCGGTCTGGCCCTCCTCCGAGCCGGTTGAGGGCGGAAGTACGGGGCCTTTCCCTATTGTCATTATGGCGGTCTCGGGACTGAATTTCCTGGGAGGACGTATCTTGGGCCACCACCCCTTCGTCGTTTCTCACCCGAGGGGTGGGATTTCCGAAGGGGTGTGGCAGAGGGGGAAGTATGATATTTTCCCTGATCTGAGGGTGAGCTGGAGCCAGGGTGCCGAAGGCACCCGGGTTCTGGGTGAGCGTTTGGATGAAGGCGGAGAGCGCCGATTGTACGTCGATGGTGAGAACCGGAGGGCTGACTTGGTCATCGCTCCGGTTTTTCTTCTTGGCATCGATGCCGAGGCGGGCATCGGGGGCATTCTGTTGGATCTGAAGGCGTAGATCGACAGCCGCCTGTTCCAGCCCAGCGATGACACCGCCCTCGGGAGCCCTGTGAGAGGCTTCGGGGGCGTTGACGTTGCCGAGGGCCAGGTTCTTGTCTTCTACGTTCTTTGAGTTGGCACGTGTTGTCCTCACCATTTTGATGGAGGGCTAGTGTTTTGCGTTTGATCGAGGGGGAGGGTTTCTTACTTGATTGTTCGACCTCTCAACGAGAGCACCAAATGATGGATAGTCTACCCGGGGGTATATATCCGAAGGGTTATTACGGGGAATAACTTAGAGAGAAGTCAGAGCAAGTAAGTAAATGTAGAGAGAGAGTATATTCAGTATGAATGCCATTTTCAGCGTGGTTACAAATGGGGAAATGGGGTGCTATTTATAGTAGCAATAAATGCCGGGCAGGGACACGTGTCAAGCGCTCATTGGCCGAGGGGTCACCTCAACTGGTTGGCGCTGACAGCCGCATGTAGCCGCATTTAATGCGGCTGTTGGATGGGACGTCTGTGCAGGGTACGGTGATCTGTACGCATGTGAGGCGGATATCTTGTCGAGTGAGATGCCTTCGGCTACAGAGCAGTACCCGAAGGCTCCTCCAACCGAGGGCACCTTGGTGCCGAGGGCTCACAGTACCGAGGGCTACTGTTTTCGCCGTTTTCTCCCAGTTTCTTAGTTTGCTTGAGAAACCCGTTCTGTGAGAGTTTAGACCCTTCGGCCAGGGGGCCGAAGGCACCCCTGGCGCGTAGTGCGGGCTGCTTGGTACTCTGGGCGCTGTGATTTGGGCCTGTTGGGCCTTTTGGGCTTGTTGGGCCTTCGCCGGAGTTGTAGGAGTCTGTGGGCCGGGGGTTCCCGGGCCATATACTCCATCAGAGGGCTTGCTGGATGAGGGCAGCTGTGGAGTGGTTACCGGGGGGTCCACTGTTCGTTGATTAGTTGGTGATGAAGATACCCGAGGGCTCCCCTTACCTGTGTGCCATGGGTTATTCGTCAATGAGGCAACTCCCCGGAGGCTACCCGGTTTTGCAGTGCTGAGGGGGAATCCCCGAGGGGTGCCCTGATATGAAGCCCTGGGTTTATGAAGGAGTGATCCCGAAGGCGTCTGTTATGTGCTGTGTGGGGCACAACCTGGGGGCGCTTCTGGGTAAGTGTACCCGGAGGCTATCCTTGATGAAGTGGAGTGAAGTAGAAAACCCGGTGGCTTCCAGAATATAGCCGTTGGAAATATAGCCGTTGGAAGATGTAACATCAGGATTATAGCCGTTGGGGGGGGGGTACACGTGGCGTGTGATGGCTGGCTGTCCGTGGGCGGCGTCACTGGTTGGGCGAAGACGCGGTGTGTAATGATGGCGTCCATCCGGAGGCCCAGTTTTCGGGCCCAAGCCCGGACTCTGGGGTCTATAAATACCCCGGAGCCAGAGCCATTTCTTCCTTACGCGTCCAAAATCCTTAGCGAAGCTCTGCCAAAAATTCTAGAGAGAGAAACTCAAGCCCTCGGTCATAGCACTTTCAGAGGTTAGTTCTCCCTTCGCTCCTCACCATTTTTCGTTAGCTTTTGCTCCCTGGCCTTAGGTTAGGTGTTATAGCCTTGTAGAGAGCCCTCGATTTAGGAATCTTAGCCTGAGTACATCAAGGATGTCGTCCCAAAGCGACTCGCAGAATATCTCGAGGGAGCCCTCGGTTGAGGACGAGGTTGCTTCCGATGTTGAGTCAAGTAGCAGTGCGCCCTCGGTCGCTGATGACGAAGCCGTAGCCCTGGAGTTGCAGAAGGCCCTCACTGCTGAAGTGGAAGCCGAGGGCTTCGAACAGGAGTGCGAAGACGAAGAATTAGCCCTCGCGTATCAGGTGGCGGAGGACGAAGCCCAAAAGGAGGCGATGACGGTTACTGTTGCTGTGCCACCCCCTCGGACTAACTGTGGTGAGCCTAGTACCTCCAGGCCGCTGGACCCGACGCCTCTGAGAATAGCCCCCGGTAAAAAGAAGATGAAGTCGCAGAGGGCTGCCCCCAAGAAGAAGGGTGTTGCCGCTGGTGCTGGGGGGCCTGTTGAAATGCCAGAGGGGTATACCTGGCTAAACACCGAGGCCCTCGATATCAAGTCGAAGGCGGACAGGGCAGATTTGTACGTCACGCAGCTGCACGTTGGGCCCTCGGCCGTAGTGGTGGAGCCAGGCGTCGATGATCTGCTGTCCCGGCCACCCGAGGGATGCATTGCCGTCCACATCCTATCGGTGTCAATGGGGCTCCGGTTCCCCCTGCACCCATTTCTCCGGGAGTACCTCAGGTTCGTTGGACTCATCCCCTGCCAACTTACCCCCAACAGCCATTCATACATTGCTGGCTTTCTGCACCTGTGCCGGACGAGGGATGTTACCCCAAGCTTGGACCTCTTCTTCCAAAGCTTCAACTTGTGCCGAGGGGGGCACGCGAATGCCGAGGGCTTCGCCAATTTGCAGCAGGTAGCGAAGTTCAAGCTGTTTACCGAGGCGCCCTCGTCCAATAAGGGCTGGAAAGACAGATGGTGCTACGTCCGGTTGGCCGAGAATCCCTTCCCGAGGGAGCTACGGGACCGCTTTCGACGCCACGAGAGGGTGGGGAGTGCTGCCCTAGAGAAGGATGGCCTGAAACTCGCCAAGATCCCGGAGGGCAAGAAGAGGGTCGTGACTATCAAAGAATGCACTTTTGAGGAAGACTTGCATGCCCTCGGGTTCCAACGGTACCGGTTCATCGGGGAAACAGACGAGAAGTACCCCGTCTTCGCTGAGGCCTTCGGGGGAGCAGGAGGTAGTCTACGAGGGCCCTTAGTCTCATACTTAGGCACTTTCATTTTGCATCCCGATAGTTGTTTGTGGTATGAACCCTTCGGGTTAATATTCTCTTTGCTTTGTTTTGCAGGTATGGAGGCTCTCTTCGCGATGAAAAAGAAGAAGGAGAGGGCGCAGGCCGAGAAGAAGGAGAAGAAGGAGCCCTCGGGTCAAAAGCCCATTGATGAGGTTTTCCCGAAGGAGACCGCGGAGCCTTCAGTTGCTGCTGCTCCCGCTACTGTGGCCGGGGGGCGAAGGCCGATGTGGCGGCCAAGAAGAAAAAGGGAGGCAAGGGGATGGAGCCCCCGATCAAGAAGCAGAAGGTTGTCGGGCGCGCCGTTGAAAAGGCGGCCCCCCTCATAGTAATCGATGATCAGCCCTCCGCTGACCCCCCGGCCATTGACACCCCGATGGCTCAAACAGACCTTCCCCCGCGGAACCTGCCTCGGGAGATTATTCAGCTCTCCCTCGCCCCGGGGGCATCTGTGTTGCACGGTTCAGCCGAGCCGATGTCTTTCCTGAGGGGGATAACCTCGATGATGGATAAGGAAGCCCTCTCCACCTATGACGATGACGCCCTCGAAGCCAAGGCCCTTCGATCAGCTCTGACTGTAAGTGTTTTTACTTTGACTTTATCTTAACACTTAGCATAATCCCAATGCCCGTCTGAACCCCCTGTCCGTTATTCAACAGGCGTGTATAACCTTCGGTGAGCAGGCCCGAAGGCGAGAGGAGTGGTGCCGTCATAAGGCCGAGCTAGAGAAGTCCGTGAAGGAGCTGATCCACGATAAGGACGCTGCCCTCCGGGAGGTGTGCAAGTTGGAGGACGCCCTTCGGCAAGCGGAGCTGCGGCTGAAGGAGGCCAGAGATGACGGGAAGGCCGAGGGCAGGGCAGAGGCCGAGAGGGTTGCGGCCGAGGAGAGAAAGCAAGCGGCTGAGGACGCCGAGAAGGCCAAGGCTGAAGCTGCTGTCAAAGCCCGAGAAGAGGCCATTGCTGGGTTCACCTCCGAAGGCTGGAAGGCCGAGGGCCAGAGCGAGTGGGTGGCCTCTGTGGTGAAGGCCTCGATCGAGGAGTGGGTGAGGGGCCCCGGGCTCGACTGGATGAATGAGAGGGGTGACACCTACTATCAAGCTGGCGAGTTCTTCACCCAGCACCTGGTTTACCGGAGGCTCGCCCGGCATTTTGGCACCTCCCTGGATGAGTTCAACCCCTCAGTGTATGGCCTCCCCCCGTTGCAGCCAGACCTGAGGGTCCCCCTCCCCGAGGGAGAAGAGCGCCCGGTGATTCATGATTCCATGATGATGGGCGTCGATGACGATGCCGAGGACGCCACCGGGACGGAGGTTACCTCGAAGCCATCGGGGGAGGCGGCCCCCGGGAATGATGTTGTCGATATGTAATACGCATTCAGTAAACATTTATTTGTAATGGTGACTCTATTGATCCTTCGGCTTCGGCCTGTTTGTAACCTTTACTCGTAATTACATTTTCTCCTTCTTTGATGGTTGAATGATTGCCTTCGGGCTTTGTATATATGACTTGTTTTCTCCAATTCCTTTCTTCTTGAATGTATGCCTCCGTTTTCCTTGAGTGTATGCCTTCGGTATTTTTGAGTGTGTGTCTTCTCCTTTTTGAATGTATGTTTTAGGACTTAGAATATTTTCTGACTGTAGCTTGCCCCTGGAAGCCTTCGGTAGTTGGGCACCCTCTGTTGAATATGCAACCGAGGGTTCAGCAGTAATTAAGACTTAGAAAATTTTTCTAAGTGTAGCACACCATAGGGCCTTCGGGTGTTTGTAGTAACCCAATTCCTAGGACTTAGAAAAATTTCTAAGTGTAGATTTTCCCTTGGGAGCCTTCGGGAGATGGCATCCCTTCCTGATGTGTGAATATTGGACCGAGGGCCCAATGTACAGGACTTAGAAATTTTTGCAAGTGTAGTATGTCACGTAGCCTTTGGCTACTATGGAGCCCCAACTGAAATATTGATTAGGCCGGGGGCCAATTCTTTAGGACTTAGAAAATTTTCTTCAGTGTTGATTCCTTGTGTACCGTAGCCTTCGATTGATAGATAGCCTTGGGCTATTAGGTCCCTTGAGATGAGGGTGAAATATGTAGGACTTAGAAAGATTTCTAAGTGCAGTTTTTCCCTTGGGAGCCTTCGGGAGATGGCATCCCTTCTTGATGTATGAGTAGTTGACCGGGGGAAAAACATGTAGGACTTAGAAAATATTATAAGTGTAGATTTTCCCTTGGGAGCCTTCGGGAGATGGCATCCCTTCTTGATGTATGAGTAGTTGACCGGGGGAAAAACATGTAGGACTTAGAAAATATTCTAAGTGTGGATTTTTCCTTGGGAGCCTTCGGGTGATAGGTGCCCTCTGACTCCACATCACTTTGCGAGATGCCCGGGGGCTGCTCATTCAGGACTTCGAATATTTTCTAAGCGTAAATTGATGTTGAATCCTGTTGTTGTGAAGAAAGCCAATGAGGAGTGTGTGCCCTCGGCATACACTTTAAAAGTTGTAGAATTTGACCCTTGTCATGGGATAAGGGCCCTCGGTATTAGTGCGTAACAGATGCCTTCGGCGTTTGAAGTACCGCTTAGTGGACCTTGGATAGTCCAGTCCCTTTGTATTGTTGAAGCCTTCGGTGTTCGTGTGACCGGAGGTGACCTGGACTTAGCCGTTTCTTGATGATATTTGTTTGAGTAGTATCCTTCGGGAAATAGGAGCCTTCAATTACCGGAGGTGTTCCCGTGGGGAGCCCTCGGCATGTTGTGATCTGTTGGAGTGTACTCTTTGATTTCTCGCTGAGTCTACTCCCCTTCACCCCCCCCCCCCCTTTTTTTTTGGTTGGTGGTGAAGGGAAGGCATCAAGAAACTTGGTTTCTTGGTAAGGCTGGGCCTATTAGGAGACCATCAGAATACATCAATGGCTCTCCTCCCTCGGGTTAACCTTCCGAGTTCCGAGGGGATCGAGAGTCGTTTCCTGGGCACAAGATATGGTGGTCCGTAACCTGCCTCCCCTTGGGGGATGGCGCGGAAAGCGCCTCATTTTTGAAAGTCGTCCCCTCGGCGCTAGACATGGTCCGTGGCCTGCCACACCCTTGGGGTGGTGGCGCGGGGAGCGTTTCGGTTTGGAAGTCGAATCCTGGGCATTTCTCGTGCCTGTCATACCCTTGGGGTGATGACGCGGATAACGTTCCGTTTTTGAAAGTCGAATCCTGGGCATTTCTCATGCCTGTCATACCCTGGGGGTAGTGACGCGGAAAGCGTTTCAAGGAAGGGTTTTCATTTGCACACTAGTTGCAAATGGCCGGGGGCACTACGTGCCGCCGGCACCGATGTGTTAGTTTCGATGTGTAGCCCCCGGTACTTGGTACCGAGGGGTCTTCTGTAGGAACACTTGGTGTTCTCTTTTGTTGTAGTTGATGGAGGTGTCTTCCCTCGGTACTTGGTACCGAAGGGTCTTCAAATGAAACACTTGGTGTTTTGATTGGAGTGTTTGGTGTCGGAGGGCCTTCGGAGGAAACACTTGGTGTTTCCCAACAGATGTTTGGAAGTTGATAGGAGAGCATATCCCTGGCACTGGGTACCGAGAAGACTTCTGTGAAACATTTGGTGTTTTTTCTTCGTTTTGATGTTGATGATGGAGGTGTACCCTCGGCACTGGGCGCCGAAGGGTCTTCTGTAGGAACACTTGGTGTTCTTATCTTCGAAGTTGAGGGCGGGGATGTACCCTCGGCACTGGGTGCCGAAGGGAAATGAAACACAGGCGTCCCTTGTTGTTGGTGATAGGAGTTCCCTCCCTCGGTACTTTGTACCGAGGGATCTTGACTGAAAACACGTGGTGTTTTCACTGTTGTCGTAGGTGTTGATGGTGTCCGCCCTCGGCACTCGGTGCCGGAGGGGGTTCTTCTCGTGGTTCTTATCTTCGAAGTTGAGGGCGGGGATGTACCCTCGGCACTGGGTGCCGAAGGGAAATGAAACACATGGCGTTCCTTGTTGTTGGTGATAGGAGTTCCCTCCCTCGGTACTTGGTACCGAGGGGTCTTGACTGAAAACACGTGGTGTTTTCACTGTTGTCGTAGGTGTTGATGGTGTCCGCCCTCGGCACTCGGTGCCGGAGGGGGTTCTTCTCGTGGTGAGGACTGGGGCCTGTAGTCAGTATGAGGGCTTGATGTCTTGAATGTATCTTCATTCTTCAAAAGTGGAGGCCTTGGGCCATAGGATAGTACATTCATTAGTCATGAGGGCTTGGCCGCTCTTACATTATTGGTAAAATTTAACTAAATGGTGTACATTCCAGTGCCTAGGGACTTCTTTCCCGTTGGGGTGTTTGAGCTTGTAAGTCCCGGGTTTGATGATGGCTGCTATGATGTAGGGGCCTTCGAATTTCGGTGCCATTTTTCCTCCCTCGGTTGGTTGGCTGGCTTCCCTCCTCCGGAGGACATAGTCCCCCACTTGGAATTCCCTGGTGCGAACTTTGGCGTTGATGTAGCTTTTGACTTGCCTTCGGTAGTTTTCTGCCCGGATGAAGGCCTGCTCCCGGCGTTCTGAAATGAGGTGGAGGTTGAGGGCCATGTTGCTGTCGTTGACCTCGGGGTCATATTGGATCACCCTCCGGGTGGGAAGAGTGACTTCCGTAGGAGCTTTGGCTTCAAAACCGTAGCATAGGGAGAAGGGTGTTTCACCTGTTGCTCGCCGAGGGGTGGTGCGGTAGGCCCAAAGGATGTTGTGGAGTTCTTCCACCCAGCCACCGCCCTCGGCCTCAAGCTTCTTTTTGAGGCCCTCGAGCAAGGTCCGGTTGGCATTCTCTACTTGCCCGTTGCCTTGAGGGTATGCAACGGAGGAGAAGGTGTGCTTGATGCCCCATGCCTCCAGAAGGGCACAGAAGGGGGCTACCTCAAATTGTGTCCCATTGTCGGAGATGATCTGCCGAGGGAGGCCAAACCTTGTGAGGATGTTCTTGAGGACAAAATGACGGCACTTCGCCTCTGTGATACTAGCGAGGGGCTCAGCCTCCACCCATTTGGTAAAGTAGTCGATGGCCACGATGATGTACCTGTTGTTGGAGGTACCCCTCGGCAGAGGGCCCACAAGGTCTATCCCCCATCGAGAAAAAGGGACAGATGTGCTGATGGGGGCATAGTTCACCGCTGGCCTGCCGGGGGCTTTCTGGAAATGTTGACATGCGGTGCACCTCCGGGCAAGGTCGGCACAATCTCTGGCCATGGTTGGCCAGAAGTAGCCCTGGAGAATGAGCCTTCGGGACATGGAGAAGGGTCCCTGGTGAGCTGAGCAAGTGCCGCTGTGTACTTCCTCCATTGCGACCTCGGCCTCATCTTGATGAAGGCATCGAAGTAGCGTGCCGTTGTAAGATCGTTTGTAGAGCCTTCCATCTTCGATGGTGTAGCTAGGAGCCCTCAGCTTTGCCAGTTTAGCGCGGGTCTCATTCTTGGGTAGCTGCCCTGTGGAGACGAAGGTGGTGATATCTGAGACCCAATCCTCTTGGCGTTGTTGTATGTTCATAACGGGGCTCGCATGGATACTTGAGAGGCTGAGTTCCTCAATTTTGGCAATTTTGGAGATGTGCTCAGGGGAGTCGGCCGAGAGCTTAGATAATATGTCGGCCTCGGAGTTCTGAGCCCTCGGTATTTGAGTGAGAGAGTGTGTCTCAAATACCTTAAGCAACTCCTTGGCCGCTTCCTTGTATTGTTTCATTCTTCCCTCCTTGGCCTCATATTCTTCGGAGATTTGGCCGACGACCAACTTGGAGTCGCATTTGATGTGGATCTGTCGAGCCCTCATGTTGCCAGCCAGCCGAAGGCCACATAAGAGGGCCTCATATTCGGCCTCGTTGTTGGAGACTTTGAAGGAGAAGCGGATTGCATAGTAAGCTCTGAAGCCCTCGGGAGTAATGAGGACTACCCCTCCCCCGCATGCTTTGGTCGCGGAGGAGCCGTCGGTGTAGAGGGTCCACCAGTCGTCCGAGGTGGCCGAGGGCTCCCCGTCCGTGGCTGCCCTTGCGGTACATTCCGTCACAAAGTCCGCCAGGGCTTGGCCCTTGATGGCAGGCCTCGGACGGATGTCAATGTTGTATTGGCTCAAGAAGATAGCCCATTTCACCATGCGGGAGGAGCTGGTGGTGCTCCTCATGAGGGCGCCGAGGGGTTGATGGGTGAGGACATGAACCGGGTGAGCCTGAAAGTAGTGGCCCAACTTCTTGACAGTCCAAACGA